TGGGACATCGGAGGCGATGACGGGGGAGCCCCCCTTCGGTTTTTTTTGGAGGTCAGAGTAGGGGAGGCGGTTCGTTGATGAAGGGAGTGTCGCCCCCCACCCGGTTATGGAAAGAGTGGGTGGGTAATTTTTTCGCTCCCGCCCCCCCCCCCCCACTTCCCGAGTTTCGGAGAGGGGGGAATTGAATTTTTGCCAGCCAGCCGAACTTAAAAAGCGATGTCTCCTTCCTCGAATCCTTGATCGTCCTCTTTGTACTCCTCCTGAAAGCGCCCTCTTCCTCACCTAGGCCCTCCTCGCTCATACAGTAGGGGCCCGACCACAAGAAACCTTCCACAAGAAACCCAACCCTGAGACCCCAGGCCGTTCCGTGAATCTTGGTGCGGAAACGTCACGCGGAAGGCGATCGCGTCCTCGGACAGGTTCTGAAGCGCAAGCCGAGCGCACAGATGGCCAACGGCCGCTTGGCCATGATGGCCATCATGGGCGTGCTCCATCAGAGTGGCCTCACCAGCTCCGCCTGGGGCGACTGGGACCTGTACACCGACTCTCCCCTACGCTGAGTCCTCCAGGGTTCCGGGACCGCCCTGAGGGCAGCTGCCTAGCCGGTATCCTTCGCTCAGGGCAGAGGCGGCCTGGCCGACGCTGGCCGTTGGCGCGGCGAGTCTTCTCTGTCTTCGTTGAGGCGAGGGTTCGCCAGTTCGGAGTGCGACGATCAGGTGCTCAAGGTCCACGGCAACAAAAAGACGAAACTGGCATCTTCGGGCAAGTACTTGGAAAGATAAGCTGGAGTTCGGACTTTTTGTGGGTGTTCGCTCGTGGATGGCGCACTTCATGCATGCGCTCCCGATGCAGAACGCATGTAGCTGTTGTTTCCTGTTCTCTCAGTCTGGTCCGCTAGTGCACGCAGCCCCCTTCGCCCGCCGCGGAGGCCGACAAGATCGCGGAGATTGAGAAGATTACCACGAAAATCGACCAGTGGACCGCGAGGTCTGGCGCGCCCCAGTGACGTTCGGAGAAGGTGCGTTCGAGGAGGGATGAGACGGAGGGGGAGGATGATTACGATGATGGGGAGAAGAGGGGGAGGAGGAGGAGGAGGAGGAGGAGGAGGAGGAGGAGGAGGAGGAGGGAGGAGGAGGAGGAGGAGGAGGAGGAGAGGAGGAGGAGGGAGGAGGAGGAGGAGGAGAGGAGGAGGAGGAGGAGGAGGAGGAGGAGGAGGAGGAGGAGGAGGAGGAAGAGGGAGGAGGGAGGAGGGAGGAGGGAGGAGGGCCCCTCTTTGGCCTGGCCAGACGAGGTTCTTTTCGTGAGCTCCTGGCGGAGCAGTCGTCCTTCCCTCTTGCCCCATGGGCAAGAAGCTCTCCGATGGCCATATATTGTGCCCAAGACGGCGCAGAGCGAGTGCTGGCGATGTTCGGAGTGCGGGTGCCAGCGCAATGAGGCCTGGTGGACGTGGTGCAAGCACTGTCATGCCCCTCGGCAGGCGCCACGTTTCGGCATGTCCTGGCCTGCGGCTTCTGGGCCTCCTGGCGTGTGGGGTGCTGCTCATGCTGCGCCGCAGTGGCACGCAGGGTACCAGGCGCCTGGAGCTGGCTACGACATGGCGCTTGCCTTGCGGCCAGGGCCGCAGCTCATGGGCATCGGCGGCAAGGGCGGCAAGGGTCACGTGGGCGCGCCCTGCGGCCAGCCTGGGGGTCCAGGCGGCGGCGACGCGAGCGGAGGCGCTCCAGCCACCCCTGGCCTGCAGCTGGTCGGCGGCGGTGGCTACGCCAAGGGCCCCCAGCGCCAGTTCGGGGACGAGGACCTGCCCAGGCTCAAGCAGCTCTCTGCCGCCTTCACGGAGCTTGGCGACAAGCAGCAGTTTGATTACTACTCCGCCATCGTTGCGCGGCTCGAGCACGCGCACAGAACCCCGCCGCCGCCCACTGTCGGAGCTGCCAAGCACGCGTTCGAGATGGCCAGGATCCAGCTGGACAAGGCTGTCCAGGCGGCGGAGCGCATCGAGCAGGCTCTGGCCGAGGCCAAGGGCAAGGCTGTGGCGGCACATGCATAATATAAGCGAAGGGAGTCCGATTACCACGACACAGTCCGAGCTCTGCAGCAAGTCCTTCCTGCAGCTCCAGGGGCCGCACCTGGCAGCAAGGGGAGGCCCCTGCTGGACCTCAACGCGCTGCTCGAAGGGGTCGATGTCGAACTGGACGATCGAGGGGTCTTCGGCCTCGATGGCGAAGGACTCGAGCTTTCCTCTTCAGAGCGAGCCGAGTTGGATTGTCGTAAGTCGGAGCTGCTCGGCATCTTCAGGGAGGCCACCAAGGCTGCCTTCGGCCAGGCCAAGGAGAAGGCCGCCAGCTTGGTGGAGGAGCACAAGGAGTTCAACCGCCGCATGGTCGACTCCAAGCGCAGGAGGTGTGAAGAGCCGTCTGGTGAAGCCCCGGGTACGCCCGCGGCAGGCGCACCGCCAGGCGCTGCCGAAGTGCCGCCAGCTTCAGCAGGAGGCGCAGGTGCTGCTGAGGGGCCTGTCGCGCCCGCGGCAGCGGCCCCAGCGTCGACTGGAGACGGCGTGCAGGACAGAGATCTTTCGGGTGCGTTCTTGCCGAGGACCCCTGCCCAGGTGGACCTTGCCACAGGCGATTCCCAAGCGGTTCCCAGTGATTGTGATGACGGGACGCTCTTCGAGGAAGCCAGGAAGCAGGCACAGAAAGGGTCGACCCTTTAGCCTTGGCTGTTTCCGATTTGATCCAGAGGCACCTTCGTTCACGCCGGGTGGCTTCGCGCAGTCTTGTAGAATGTTGGTTTCCTTTTCGTGCTCCAGTACGGTCACTTCCAGGGGGTCGGTTTCCTTTTCGCGCTCTCCGTTTGCGGCATCCACGTGTGCATGGGCGCCAGGGCGCTCACTCACCGCGCCTACTGCGGTGACCCCGTGCTTGCACGGCGCGCGTCCCGAGGTAGGCCTGGCAGAAGACGCCCCGCGGAGAGCCAGCGCGGCATCTTCGAGTTCTCAGATCGGTTCTCCTGGGTCCGTCTCGGCATTTGCGTGGGCCTCCTCTTGATCCTGTTGAGTGGTGTCCTACCGCCCCGGCGGCGCGCGCGGATCCACCTCGCCTTGCGGGCGCAGCAGGGGGTGAAGTACCGACCGACGAGGCGCGCGCGGGTCCCCCTGCCAGCCTTGCGGGCGCAGAGGTTGGTGAAGTACCGACCGCTGGGGACGACGTGGGTCACTTGGGAGGTGGCGATGCGTTTTATTCCTACTGGCGAGCCGCGGCCTCCGAAGAAGAAGTCCAAGCCGAGCGGCGACTTGGTGGTCTGGACCGCCGACACTACGGCCTGGGAGTCCGCCTTTGCGCATGTTCGTCAGCGGGCAGAACGTCGTCGGACTCGGAGTCTTGCAGATCGGCTTGTGCAGTTGCTTTGTTTGCAGGAACTCGGAGTTCATCCTGATGATCGGGCGCAGAGGGAGAAGCAGCTGAGGGGCCACAAGTTTTTTTGTAGCAGTGCAGGCCAGCCGAGTCACCGAGCTTGGCGGCCTGTCAGGAGGCGTCGGAGTGGGCGCGCCCCAGCGCGTCGGCATGGGCGAAGGTCCGCTGCCCAAGCAACCTCTCCCATCTCCTCGTCGTCTCATCTTCAAGTCAACGCTCTGGTCCCAGAGGGCTTTTGGCTGGCCTCAGTTCACTTGCCTACCGAGGCTCCTTTCTGGCCCGAAGGGGTCCATCTGCTTGTGCGTTTGGGAGAGCTGTTCCACGCTGTTCGAAGACCCTTTATCGTTGGGGGCGACTGGAATGCGACTCCCTCGGAGCTGGCGGCCATGGGATGGCCGAGTCGGGCGCGGGCTCGGATCGTCGCGCCGCGAGAAATCGCATGTCGGTCGGGCAAGGGGCGGGTCCTGGACTACTTCGTCGTCTCGGATGTCCTTATGCCGTCCGTCAAGGGGCGCTTTGTGGCGGTCAACTCCATCCTGGCCCCGCATAGGCCCGTGGGCCTCCGCATTTCTGCCCGTGTTGTGCCGACCACGATTCTTGTGCATTCTGGCCCTCGGAAGTTCCCGCAGGAGATCCCGATGGGCCCCTATCCTGTCCCGCCAAATTGGCCTGACGTCTTGGAGGCACCCGAGCAGCAGGGGGGCCAGCGCAGCTTGAACCGGTCCTTTGGGAAGTTTGTCGGGCTCTTGGAGGACGAGCTTATCGGGGCTCACGGGATCCCAGAGAAGCAGCAGGCTAGGTTTCGAGGAAGGGGCTTAGGCTGGAAGTACACGCGTCTCCCTGGATTCGCCCCGACGCCAGGGCCGTGCTCTGTTGCTAGCCAGGAGGCGTTGGGATGGAGGCGAGTGGCCAATTGGCTCCGTGAGCTTGGCCACATCCAGTCCCAGGATGTGTGCAAGAGGCTTCTCGTTTTCGCTTCCCTTCTCGCTGAGATCAGCACGGGGCCGCAGGCGGTCAGAGACGCTCCAGCCTGGGTCGTTTTCTTTCGCTCTGCCACAGATTGGAGCTGTATGTCTTCCGCTGGCCTCGCTGACCGCGCCAACCTCGCAGGGAAGCAGGCCGCCCGTTGCGAGGGGGGGTTCGCCAGCCAGCGGTCGGCCGAGTGGCGCAAGCACGTGAAGGATGTTGCCGCGAACGGCGGCGGCAAGGCCCGCAGGTTCACCCGCCTTCCTGTGGGCTGGAGGCCTATCCAGGCCAAGCGAGGCGAGCCCCCCAGGGCCCTGAGGAGGAGCTGGGGCACGTTCTCAAGGATGGGGAGGAGGTCTGGTCATGTCCCGAGGCCGACGAGGATCCCGAGGAATGCGTGCGTGAGCTGTCGTCCTTCCTTGAGTCCCAGCAGTGCCCTGAGACGCAACGCGAGCCTGGATTTATTCGTAAGGTTGCACGGAATATTAAGGGTTGGACGTCGCAGGGTGTCGACCGACTGGGCCCCAGGGACTTCTGCGTGGTTTCGGACAAGTGCCTCGAGGCTCTCAACTTGCTTTGGAACTGGATGCTGGCCCTGGGAGCGCTGCCCGCGCAGCTCAGCCTCGCCTTCATGCCCTCCCTCCCAAAGCCTGACGGGGGCGCGCGGCTCATTGGGCTGCCCAGCATGGTGGTGAGGGTCTGGGCCCGCTGTTCCAGGGAGGTCGTGCGCCAATGGGAAGTTGACCCCTGCCGGAGCTATACTTAGGGGGGCCAGGGGGAAGTCTTGCGAAAGGGCCGTCTGGGGACAGTCTTTCTCCAGCGAGAATGCCGCGCTGACGGAGAGGTTTGCGACATGCTCTATTCTGGATTTGGTTAAGGCCTACGAGAAGGTCCATCGCAGGGACCTGATCAGCGCGGCCAAGAAGCATGGGTTCCCGCTTTTTCACCTTCGGCTTTGTCTGAAAGTATATCGTGCACCTCGGAGCCTCCTGCTAGGTGAGCGAGTCTCGCGCACTGTAATAATCCAGGCCACCATCGTCGCAGGCTGCGGCTTCGCCACTACCCCCCTCCAGGTGATGTTGCTAGGCGTTGTCGATTTTCGCGCCAAGTGGTTCCCTCGCACCCGACTTTATAATGTGGTGGGTGACATTGCGGCCCAGGCGACCGGCACGGCCCAACTGGTGGTCAAGGAAGGCCTGGCGGTCACCCTCACGCTGTGTCGCATGCTCGAGGCCCGTAGGATCATCATCTCCACGACCAAGGGCCGCGCGACGGCTACCACTTCGGACATCGCCGACAAGATAGTTGCAGGTTTGAAGAAGTGGCATATTCGGTCCGCTCATCATGTGAAGAACCTGTGCACTGACTACACGCAGGGGGATCGTAGACGGGTTCAGGTCCAGGCAGGACGAGTGAGCAAAGTGAGGGCCCGTGTTGGCCGATGCCGATCTCTGAAAAGTCAGTCCCGTAGGCTCACAATGATTTCTAAAGTGGGCGCCCTCCCTGCAGGCTCATGCGGGGTCAGTGTCGTTGGGATCTCTAACAGGCTCCTCTCGAGGCTTCGGTGCGCGGTTGCCCGGGGGCTTTTCGGACCTGCTAGAGGCCGCTCCCGAACCATGCAGTACTGGCTTTCGCCTGCGCCCGAAGCTGACCCAGCCTTTGTGGGCAACTCCCTGCCGCTCCTCGCTTGGGGGAAGGCTCTTTGGCAGGGATGGGCGTCTAGGGAGGAAATGCGTTCCGCTTTTGATTTGCTCTTGGAGCGCTTCCGCGCGAACGAATTCATTTGGTCTGCTGTGAAAGGCCCAACGGGCGCGGTGATCATGACGCTTCGGCGGCTCGGTTGGTTTCCCCAGAGCTTCTGCGTCTGGTCTCTTCCCTCGGGTTTGTCCTTGGACCTCGAGAAGGTCCGAATGGTTTCTCTGCAGACATTCGTTGATCTTGGCACTGAAGATCTGCTGTCTGGGCAGCTGCGGTGGAGCCATCACGGCCAGGATGTTGATCACCCCCAGCTGGGCCCGGTCGGCGAAGCGCGCGCGGCCTTGCGCCGCAAGGGTGGGTGGGGGGGGGGGGCTCCAGGCCGGCCTTCTCGCCGCGCGCGTGGCTGGGGGCCTTGTTGCCCAGTCTGTTCTTTATCGAGGCCGTCGGGTCATCGACCAGAGGTGCCAGTTGTGTTTTGGAGCGCGCGGAACCCCTCAGCGCCGTCTCTTTGTCTGCGATGGATTGCACGAGGGTCGTTGCAAGCTTGGTTTTGATGAGGAGCTGCGTGGTTGGAGGAGGGCGGAGGAGGAGGGCCCCTTTCTCTCCCGCTGCCTCCTCCCTGCCCCCATCAGGTTCACCCCTCGCCTCCAGATCACAGGCGCCTGGAGGTGGGGCGTTCGCCCACCAGGGGGCGAGCTTCAAGGCCGCGCGTGCTCCGATGGATCGGCCCTTTTTCCCGAGCTCCCTCTCTTCGCGGTTGCTGCCTGGGCGGTCGTGATGCTCGACGGAGGGGGGCGTGTTCTGGGTTCGGCCAGCGGGCGGCTTCCGCGCGCGCTGCGTTCTATTCAAGGGGCGGAGGTTTTCGCCATCCTCTTGGCTCTCCGTCTCTCGGGCCCAGGCGAAGTTGAGCTTGGTTGTGACTGTCAATCGGCTGTTCTGACCTGGGGCCGAGGGGCGGAAGCAGATGTTTCGAATTTGCCTTTTGCTGAGTTCTGGGGAGGAATCAATTTTCGGCGGCGGGGCCGAGGCGATGCGTTTCGTGTTTCCCATGTCCCCGCTCATAAATCCTGGCCAAAGGATTTCTCCCTGGGAGTGTCTTTCTGGGCTTGGAAGGGGAACCGAGTTGCTGATCAGGCAGCTCGGAGGGCCGCCAGCGACATTCCCATGCCAGTGGCTCTCCGCGACCAGTTCATCGAACAGAGGGAGCGCCTGCAGGTTCTGGCTCGCTTCACTGGTGCCATGCTCGAGGTCGCAAGGAGGCCCAAGTTTCGTGATGTCTCTAAGGTCGTTGCTAAGCAGCCCCGACCCCAGGGGCCCAGCTCATCCTCTGCCCCGATCCCAACGGGCAGGTCTTGGGGCGTTGGGGGAAGGGCTGGCGTTGTGCGATCTGTCTTGACCGAGGTCGAAGTTGGACCCACCTGGCCAATTATAAGTGTTCAGGCTTGCCCAGGATTTGTCGCCAGGCTCATCGCTCTCATCGTTTGTGGGGAGGTGACCCTGGTGCGGCTCTTCCGATCATTTGGTGCTCCAGGTGTGGCAGCTATGCCAGGCATCGAATGAATCTGCTGGCTGATCCTTGCAATGGGAGGCCCCGAAATGACGCTACAGGCAAGTCTCTGGAGATGCTGCGGCAGGGTGTGGACCCTACCGCTCGTGCGAGTTTCGGCCGCAGCGTCCCACTTTGGACCGAGAGAGGTGCAGGCCGCTATGTGGTGGCTGCGCCCACCTCCTCGGCCGAGGCTTCGAGTCATGAGGCCCCCCCCCCCCCCCCACAGGAGCCTAACGGGGGCGTTGGCTCTCCTGCCAGGGCCACCACTGAAGGATGACTTCGGGTCCCTTCAGCGGCGGCCCAGGCGGGGGAGGGCAGAGCCTCGCTCAGGGTCCCCTCCCCCTTTCTTCCCTTTTTCTTTCTTTCTGGCTTAGGTTCTGCGCCGCCTCGGCACCGCGGATCCTCGGCTATTTGTGAAAACTGGTTGAAACCAGGAGGAGGGAGGAGGGAGGAGGGGGGATGGAGGAGGGCAGAGGGAGGAGAGGGGGAGGGAGTAGGGAGGAGGGAGGCGGGAGGAGGAGGAGGAGGGAGGAGCTAGGAGGGAGGAGGGGGGAGGATGGGGGGGGGGGAGGAACAGGAAGAGGAGGAAGAGGAGGCGGAGGAGGAGGAGGAGGAGGAGGAGGGAGGAAAAGGAGGAAAAGGGAGGAGGGAAGAGGGAGGAGGGAGGCGGGAGGAGGAGGAAAAGGGAGGAGCTAGGAGGGAGGAGGGTGGAGGATGATGGGGAGGAGGAAGATGATGATGATGATGATGATGAGGAGGAGGAGGAGGAGGAGGAGGAGGAGGAGGAGGAGGGAGGAGGGAGGAGGAAGTGGAGGAGGAGGAGGAGGATGAGGAGGAGGACGACACACAATACTAGTACCAGTCATGATGATAGTATTACTAATAAGCATCATAAGAGTGAGAATGCGAATCATAATAAGACGACGACGCGGAATAATACGAGTAATCGTAATAGTAAGACTAAGACTGCCACTACTAATACTAGTACGAAGACTAGCCAGACTAATCACACTTTTGGCAATACTAATAATATGAATAATGATAGGCTAACACTCATAATACTAATGCTCATACGGATACTAGCAATACCAATCACACTAGGACGATTAATCATACGACAAAGACTAATAAGACGACTAACCATCATAAGAGTACGACGCATACGAATCATATGAATACTAATTCTGGGACGGGGAAGAGTAATACGAGTAATAAGACGAATGCGAACACACATACTACTAGCAATAATGACACTGCGGGTAATATTACTAATAATACGCACTGTAAGACGAATTCGAGGATTACCGAGACTACTGCTACTACTCATAATGAAAACGCGATCACTGCGAATACTAATAATACTAATAATACGAATAGTAGTACAACTAATACGAATCATGCGAGTGAGAGGAAGAACAATAATCGCATGAATGGGAATATTAATGAGAAGAAAAGGGGAAGGAGGAGGTGGAGGAGGATGAGGAGGAGGAGGTTGAGGATGAGGAGGAGGAATATTATTATGATGCTGCTGATGATGACGACGCTGATGATGACAATGCTGCTGCTGATGTTGCTGATTATGTTGATGATTATGGTAATGATGATGCTGCTGATGATGACGATGATAATTACGATGCTGATGCTGATGATGCTGCTGCTGATGATGATGATGATGATGCTGTTGCTGATGTTGATGATGATCATGATGCCGAGGATGATGTTGATGAGGATGCTGATGATGCTGATGATGATGTTGATGATGCTGTTGATGACGATGATGCTGCAGACGATGCTGCTGCTGCTGATGATGATGCTGATGTTGATGTTGATGATGATCAGGCTGATGCTGATGCTGATGATGATGCTGATGATGCTGATGCTGATGCTGATGATGATGATGATTATCATGGTGATGATGATGATGCTGCCGATGATGAGGGTGAGGATGAGGATGAGGATGAGGATGAGGAGGAGGAGGATGACGAGGAGGAGGAGGAGGAGGCGGAGACGGAGACGGCGCAGGAGGAGGAAGAGGATGAGGATGATACATACGAATGAAACTATAAGACTAGTAATGCTAAGGCAAATGCTAACAATAGTAATACCAAGAAGAAGCATAATACCAGTAATAAGAAGACTAATAATACGAATTATAAGAAAACGTGATCATATTACTAATAATACAAGTAGTAGTAGTCATAATAATAAGACTAACCATAGTAATAACAACATTGATAATATTACTACTAATACTACTAATCTTAATGATGATAGTAATAATATGAAAAATAATAATCGTAATGACCATATTCATATACTAATATTACTACTACTACTAATAATAACAATAATAAATAAGAGCATACTAATACTAATGCTAATATTACTGATAATAATAGTAATAAACATAATAGTAATAATACTAGTAATAATAATGATACTGATAATACAAACAATAATACTAATAAAGATAATGACCATACTATTACTGATACTACTGATACTAATAATACTACTACTAATACTAATAGTACAAATAATATGAATGATAATATGAATACGAATAAAAGCAATGACAACAAATTAAGAATACTAATAAGCATAATCATAATCAGAAGAGGAGGCGGGGGCGGGGGCGGAGGCGAAGGTGGAGGCGGAGGCGAAGGTGGAGACGGCGGAGGAGGAGGAGGAGCAGGAGGCGGAGGAGGAGGAGGAGGAAGAGGAGGAGGAGGAGGAGGAGGAGGAGAAGGAGGCGGAGGAGGAGGACGAGGTGGAGGAGGAGGAGGAGGAGGAGGCGGAGGAGGAGGAGGAGGAGGAGGAGGAGGAGGAGGAACCAGAGGAGGAGCAGGAGGCAGAGGAGGCGGAGGAGGCGGAGGAGGCGGAGGAGGCGGAGGAGGCGAAGGAGGCAGAGGCGGCGGAGGCCGCGGAGGAGGGAGCGGAGGAGGCGGAGGAGGAGGAGGAGGAGGAGGAGGAGGAGGAGGAGGAGGAGGAGGAGGAGGAGGAGAAGGAGGAGGGGGGAGGAGGAGGAGGAGGAGGCGTAGGCGGAGGCGGAGGCGGAGGCGGAGGTGGAGGAAAAGGAGGTTGAGGAGGAGGAGGAGGAGGAGGAGGAGGAGGAGGAGGAGGAGGGGGCAGGCGTCCTGAGCCACCGCAGCGATGCCCACCAGGCAAGCCCAGCAGTCGAGGACTGCGAACCGCACAGGCGGCCAGGAGGGAGCCCCGGTCCCCATCCTAAAGTGGGGGCCCATTCCAAGAGACACCCTGCTTGCCTCCAGGGTGCCCTGGGTTTCTTGGGTCTCGATGGTTTTGCGATGGAGAGCGTGACGTTCCCACCAAAAACCAGTGGACGTCCCGGGGTCTCAGGGATGGGCTTCTTACGGAAGGTTTCTTGTGGACTGGCCTCCACTGTACTCACCTCCTCCGCGTTCCTTGGACCCCCGCCTCTCCCTCTCCACCCTGCCAGCCTCCTCCCATCTTCCGCACATATCCCCTCTCCTCGGACGAGCCACGGCTTTTCATAATTTGTGCCATCATTTCTCAATGGGCACGCCATGCGAATGAATCCCCCCTTTAAACGCGCATGCTGTTTCCCAGGCCGCTATGTCTAGCACGTGTCGTGGCGCGCGCGAGTATAGCACGCTGCCGAGTGCCGCCGCCTGCGCCCTTCATGGGCTCGCCTTCCGGCGCACGGGCTTGACCTTGACCTCCAGCCCTCGGGCGAGGCGTTCAGCCCCCCCCCGTCGACCGCGAGGTCCGCGCAGCTGAAGAGCGAGGTGGCCGCGCTGCAGGAGGGGCTGGCACACCTCGCGTCGAGCCAGGCGCGGGCGCCCTGGGGACGGGTCCCGCCCGCAGGGCTCGAACGGCTGCTCGGCTGGAGGTCGGCGAGGCTCAGCGACGGGTCGGAGGATGCCGACTCCACGCCCGCACCGATCCTGGCCAGGCCCGGCCTGGGCCCAGGATCGGGCTCGTGCGGCGTCCTGGCCTGGCCAGCAGGATGGGTGCTCGGATGCCGCGCCCAGGGGTCGGCCTGGGCCCAGGATCGGTGCATGTGTGTGTGTGTGTGTGTGTGTGTGCAGGCGGCGCCCTCCGACCGTGGCAGGAGGCGGTTAAGAGATGGGGGAGGCTGGAACGAGCCGTCAGTGGCCTGGGTGTGTGTGTGTGTGTGAGCGTGTGTATGTTGCGGCCTTCGCGGTGTCTCTGGCGCCACTGCTGGCCTTCGGCCCCCCTGTGTCCTCGACGTGCCCTCCTGCCAGTCGTCTGGCCACGGCATTCCTGCAGCTTCCACCGCTGTGTCCCCCCTTGCCTTCACCGTCATGTCGTTTTCATGCCGGTCGGCTGTCTGCCTACCCTCGTCAGACCCCCCCGTCGTCCACGCCCAGGTGACTTCGGGCCAGCTGCCGATGCCGCTTGTTTCAGGCGGCTTGAGGGTTCGGCGTTTTGACGCGCGCGCGCCCGCCTCTCCGACCTCGCTACGCACAGTCGCTGCGCGCGGGGCCTCGACGCCAAACAGTGTGTGTGTGTGCGTGTGTGTGTGTGTGCGTGTGTGTGTGTGTGTGTGTGTGTGCGTGTGTGTACGTGTGTCTTTGTGTGTGTGTGCATGTGTGTGTATATGTTTGGGTGCAGCTCTGTGTCCGCCGTCCCAATGCCGCCTGGTGATGGGCTGGCCGCTGGGGACCGCATGGACGCAGCGCGCGTTGAAGGCACACTTCAAGGCCTGCGTTGGTTGTGCTAAGGGCAAGTTTAGTTTGGTGACGCCACGGTCGGTGCGGACGCCAGTTCGTGTTCTTTCGCTGTGGCAGTGCGGTGGGTACCACTGATCTGGAGCTTCAGGATTATTGCGTCACTTTATCATGTCCATCGGCTCCACTCGCAGATTCGTGCTGGCATTCTGTTGTCGGATCTGTTGTGCACTTCTCGCTGGGGCGAGCGCTCGACTTGAACTGATCCTTCAGTGGAGTCCTACTGATCCCCAAACAGTGCTTGTACTTGGGGACTCTTTTTTCAGGAGGGGAAAAAACACACAGACACAATTAATCGGCGATTCCCAGAAAACATGGGAAACTGTGGGAAGTGGGGGGGAAGAAAAAAACCCAGAAAATATAGGAAAATATGGGGGAACATTTTATTTGTGTGTATCTATTTGTGTGTCCTGAGATAACTGGGCCCCGGCGGCGGTCCGGATTGGCTCGTCTCCGCCCGTTGCCGCCCTGGCCTTTGGGCCTCGGCGGCGGTCCGGCCGCCTCGTCGCCGCCCGTCGCCGCCCGTCGCCGCCCGTCGCCCTTGGGACCCAGGGGCGATCCGGCCGGCTCGTCGCCGCGCGCCGCCGCGTTGCTCTGCACGGCTCTGCATTGCTTTGGACTGTTTTGCACAACAGGGCACTGCGTTGCATTGCTCGGTATTGCTCGGCATGGCTTCGCACTGCTCTGCATAGCATTGCATTGCGTGGCGTTGCCTGGCCTTGCTTTGTCTTGCTTGGCGTTGCTTGGCGTTGCTTGGCGTTGCTTTGCATTGCCTGGCATTGCCTGGCATTGCTCTGTATTGCTTTGCATTGCTTTGCATTGCTTTGCATTGCTTTGCATTGCTTTGCATTGCTTTGCATTGCTTTGTATTGCTTTGCATTGCTTTGCATTGCTTTGCATTGCTTTGCATTGCTTTGCAGTATTTTGCTTTGCACTGTTTGGATTGTTGTGTATTGCTTTACATGGTGTTACATTGCTTTGCATTCTTCTACGCCACATAGAGTACCATCTAGATTGCACCCTATTGATTGCACCACCTAGATTGCATCGCACATATTGCAAGACATCGCTGTTTGGGGTCCACGCTGGCTAACACTTCTTGATGCATGTCTGGTGCATCTCATCACTCATTTCTTGAGTCACAAGCTGGTGCCAGTTGCCAACTGGTTTTTGCCCGCAGCGGACGGTCGGGATACGCCGCTTTTCTTGCAGAGGCGTGCGTACTCATTGAATAACGCGGGGGAGGGCGGAGATGGGCCAGCTACAGCGGCGAATGGCGAGACCCGTTCTCCTCGATTCCTGGGCCGCTGGGGTGGAAGCAGCCGAAGGGTGAGAAGCCGCGGGGCGGCTCTGGAAGGAGGGGGCGGACGGAACGGAGGGGGGAGGGACAGGTAGGGGGGATGTAGGCGAGGGAGGGGGAGGGGGAAGGCGGATGGGGAAGCGGAACAGACGAGAGGACAGGAGAGTGGGGGAAACAGGTTGGTTCCGCGGGACAGCGGTGGACGCCACGCGCATGAGTTCTTTGTGTCGTGTGGGGCCACTTCGTTTTGTTTCGTTTGAAGGGGGCGCAGCTTCAATTTAGCGTTGTCCAGAAAACCAAGCCCGCATGTTGCCGAGGCCACAGCGCCCCGTACGGCGCTGGACGAGCACGGCGCCGCCCAGCCCAGGTTGCGGCGCGTCCGGCCTCGAATTCCAGGATCTGGGCGTCTGTCTCGCAGCGTCGTTTCTCTGTCCATTGCCGTTTCCCCACCCGCTGTTTCGGATGCACACTTAGGGGGCCACATGCGAACCCTACCCCTACCCCCCACGATTTCTGAGGGGGAGGGTGGGGTTCACTTCGCTCGGGAGCTCCCGAACGAAATGAACCCCGCCCTCCCCCTCAGAAATCGCGGGGGGTAGGGGTAGGGTTCGCATGTGGCCCCCCAACACTGGAGCAGAACGTGTTGCACCGAGCTGCGGTCGAGTGCGGACCCGACGGCGGGAGCCGCGGGCAGGCCCGTGCTCCTGCGGGGGGGGGGCGGGGGCGCCCATTCTGCGCGGCGGCACCCCGCGGGGTGGCCCGCCCCACTGGCCACCGAGGCGGGATGCTCGCTGGGGCTCCCGGGCAGGCAGGGCCAGGGCCCTCGTGTGGCTCACGGAGCTTTTCGGGCCGGACGTCGGCCGCACCAGGGGCTCCCTCTGCAATGGCAGCCGGAGAAGTCCAGGCAGTCTCCCGTGCACGTCTCTGAGCCGAGCCTCGTGTCCGCGAAGACAGTCACCTGCGACTTTCTCTCGGAGCGTCTGGTCGGGTTGAGTGGCAGGCGCGAGGTCCCTCCTCGTTCATCTTTGTTCGAAGCGTTTCATTCCTTCAGCACCGCCAGTTGCCGATGTTCTGGTGAGTGCTTCCTAGCCAGGCATGGGCGCACTTGTCCCCAGCAGGGTGGCAGCGGAGAATCGCGTGGTCCGACATTTTCCCACAGTGCCAATTTGTCCTGCATCATTAGTTTGGCCAATCAGCTCGAGAATCACTCGAATGTAAGAGGCGTTCGCATCTCGCCAGGCAGTGCTCAGGCTGTCAGCAATGCCAGCATCAGCTTATCTTAGAGAGTAGCCGCTGCGGCATGCCGAGGCTACCATGGACAAAATCCGCGCGGAGGAGAAGGCTGCCTTGCCTCTGGCTGTTGTGAGAGTGGGGAGCAGGGATGGATCTGACATTTAGGTCGAACTGTGCTGACGCAGGCTGGCAGTGTACTGTGACTCGTTACCAGCGTCAGCTTGTTTCGCTTGTGCGGGCTCCGAAGTGGGTAAAGTGAGTAAGTATAGAGATACTTTGTCAAGGTTCGTGAGGTCATACGCAGCCTAAGGCTCACGTCAGGCTCAAGCTGTGTTTCTCTTGTGCGTGTAGAAACATTGATTATGACGTGTGCCTGTGTTTCCCAGCGTGTCAACACGCGGGCCAGCAAACAAGAACCTTACGAAGTGCCCAAGCGCAGGGGCAGGACAAGTAGGACGAGAAGATGGGACTGCGGGAGGGGGGCGATTGAGGGAGGGGGGACGGGTACGGCCGACCATGAGGGGATGCTGGTTTCGAATCTGGGCGACCACCGCCACATATTATACATCTTAGACATGGGCCTCAAGTGTTATCGCTGCTGCTGCATTGTTGTTATTGGTCTTGTCAGGGCATGGTCATCAACTTTGGGATTCTCCCTTCTTGTCGCCCGCTCCTCCCCCTTTCCTCTCTCGCTCCCTGGCTTCAGCCTTCTAGGCCTCGAGCTGGTTGCACTTTTTCCACCCTCCCCCCCCAGTTCTCGCCCGCCCCTGAGCTGGCGGGCGACGGACCGCTGTGCGGCTGAACCCACATAGCGCCACGTGAAAGGACCATCCCGCTCCCCCTCTCCTCGCGTCGCGTGAGTTCACTGCAGGAGAACCTTTTGGTATTGCGATTGTTATTAATACTGTTATTATTGCACCGCTTCGCTCATTCCGCTGCCCCCTACTGTGCCATTGCATGTGTTTGCACGTGCGTTCGTGGCCTCTTGCCTCTTGGGGGCTGCTCGGGGACTCCTTGGGGGCTTCTTTTTGTGTCTCGGATTCTCTCGGGGGCTTCTTGGGGCCTCTGGCCTCCTGGGGGCCTCTTGGGGCGGAAGGCTCGTGTTGGTGGCTCGTGTTTCCCCTCTACGGCCCCTCTTGGGGCCGTCTTGGGGCGCTCACGGGCGATCTTGGGCACCTTTGGGGCCGTTCGGGGGCTCTCGTGGACCGTCTTGTGGCTTTTTCGGGGGGCCTGTCGGGCCGTCTTGGGGCGGTCTGGAGGGCCTCTGGGGCCATCTTGGAGCGTCGGAAGCCCGAGAATGCGAGAACGCGAATCACATAGAACAAGATAAGGAACATCAATCAGTTTTGCTTCTTGTGGCCCTCTTTGGGGTCCTCTTGGAGCACTCTTGGGGCTTCTTTGGGGCCTGTTGGGCTGTCTTGGGGCCATCTTGGGCGTCTTGGGGCGCTCTTCGGCCGTGATTCCAATTCGTGGGTCCATTTGGAGCTGCCTTTAGGTTCCTTGGGCCGCTGCTGGGGCGATCTGGAGGGTCCGGAAAACCGCCCCTGGAGCAAAGCCATCTCTGATCCGAGTCAGCCTGGACCTTGCCAGGGGTTCCGGGGGGTACTTTTCGTCCAGGGACCCCCAGTGGCGGCCCCCCGCGCGCGCGAAGTAGAGCATGCATATCCAGTCGCCGAAGATCTTAGCACGACTCTGGCCCAGTGGGCCGTCGAATTATTTTCACAGTCATTGTTATAGCTATGACGATGATGGTGATGATAGTGATGATGATGATTATTGTTATTGCGGACATTTTCATTCGTATCATCATCTGTATTAGTACTCGTATTATCATTATTGTTGTATATCCGTAAGGGTTTCGCTCCCATGCCGCTGGCCCCCCCTCTCAGAATGGGACTTGCCAGAGCTGTGTTGGGATGTCTGGACCCTGACGTGAAGCGATTGTGGGAATTCACGCGAGGGCTAATATTTATTTGCAAAAGGCTTTATGGCTTTGGTGGCGCGAGTACGCGGTAATTTGCGATGTTTTATGGCTTCGGGGGCGCGAACATTGTATAGTTTGCTGGGGTTTAGTGGCCTCGGGGGCGCAACAATTGTATAACTTACAAGGGTTCATGGCCTCGGGGGCGCAAGTTTCGCGTACTTTATAAAAGGCCTCGGGGGCGCGAGTATAAGGTCATTTGCAAGGGTTTGTGGCCTCGGGGACGCAGGGACGGTGTAATTTACCAGCGTTTAAGGCCTTGGGGACGCGACTTTTGGGAATTTCTGAGGGTTTCTGGTTTCGGGGGCGCGAGTATTATGTAATGTGCAAGGGTTTATGGCTTCGGGGACCCGAACATTTGGCGACGCGAATCTTGTGTAGTTTACAAGGGTTTACGGCATCGGGGACGCGAATATGGTATACTTTACTAGGGATTATGGCCTCGGGGACGCGACGTTCAAGTATTTTTACGTGTCCCACGACCCCCGGGAATTCAGACAACGCGATCCGGGGACGCTAACCAGGACGCTTTTCGGCTCTCCTCCCTCGCGCGTTCAGCAGCAATTAACAGTAGGGAAGCAGAAAGCAGGACTGTAACATTGGAAACTGGAAACTGCAACTGGTACAGGGAGCTGCAAGCCTAATCTTCGCAGCCTGAGGGCCATTCAAGGGGGTCGGCAGATTTATACTTGTGGAACACGTCATGTGGTGAAATCTGCGCAATCTTTGTTGTACAATCTATGTTGTGCAATCGGTTTTGTGCAATCTTTGCGGAGCAGGGAGCAATTGTTGGGGACTTGCGTACTGCGAAACTGCCGACACTTTCGAGGGCTGCTCGGGGGGGCCAGCATAATGGGTACCAGGCGCGGCTCCATATTGGACCTCGACATTCGTGGGTGGCTGCGGAGTGCGATTCTGTCTTTCGAGGCCAGTTAGGGCGGCGCGACTCCAGAGAAGACCTCGCAATCCGTGGGAGGCTGCGAAATGCGAAACTGGAGCCACTTTCGTGGGCTACTGGGAGGGCCAGCATAGTGGGTGCAAGTCGCGGATTCAGACTAGACCTCGCCACCTTCCTTGCTGGATTGGTGGCAGGCGGACAGGTTGCGAGTGGCAGTTTCAGCAGCATCTGGTGTCATCGTCGTGCTGCACCTGCCCCGGCCTCAAGACAACCCGTACCTTGTGCTGGGGACCGCTGAGGACGAGATTGCCGTGCTCGCCCGTCGACAGCAGGCTCAAGCTCGCCGGCGCGTCGGCACCGGCATCTAGGAGCAATGTTGGCGGCAGCCGCTGTCGGGCATCCCCTCGGCCTTCGTGAGGGAGAGCTCTTCGCCATGAGATACAAATGTTGGTGGTCGTGAGCTGTGGTGCACTCGAATATGCTGTGGAACACCGCCCAACTACTTGACAGGAGTGACGGTCATGGCGCCGGACCTCGACGAGTACGAGGAGGACCTGATGATAGGAGCGGACGTTTCGGACTGGATCGCGATCGCCGGCCCGAATGGAGTGGTTCTTCATGCTGGTGCGCACGCCGCGTACTACAGGTTCCGCGTGATCCCTACCGTCGCCCAGCTGACAGCGGCCCGAGCCGCGGGCTATCGGCGGACGGGCTTAGCCCCGCCAGCTGGCAACGTGCGTCCTCTGCTGGGGGGCGCTCGCGCGTCCGCGGTAGCCCCTCCAGCCGCGGGGGGTGGCGCGGCTGGCGGTTCTTTAGCTGCAGCCTCTGCCGGTGCTGCTCCCGGGGTGGCCCCTGGCGGGCCTGGTGGGGTCCCTGGTCCGGGCCCCGGGGTTCTGGGCGCTGGAGCGCCTGCAGCTGCACCGCCTGCCGCGCCCTTGCCCGCCGCTGCCGGCGGAGCCGGCGCGGCTGGGCCAGCGCCGGCGCCTGGAGGGGGCCTAGCGCGTCTCGCCGCTGCTCTCGGCCCGCCACCTGCTGCAGGTACAGCCAGGGGCGTCGCCGGAGGAGCCGCGCCTGCCGACGGGGCGGGTGGCCTTGTGGGTGGGGGCGGAGCACCAGCAGGTGCGGCTCTTTCACCCGATCTTGCCGCTGCCGTCGCTCCGCCGCCGCCTGGAGGCGGATGACCAAGTGAATGCGGCAAACGTAGCTGCGGCTGAGATAGCCGCTCGGGAGGTACAGGTTAAGGTCAACGGTGGCAGTGATGATAGGCTCGGTTCTAACCTTGCCAGGGGCACAGATCTGGTGCGCGGCAATCTCTGCGTCATGTTTGAGCTCACCCAGTGGATCGCTAGTGAGCTCACCAAGGAATATGCTGTCATGAAGGAGCGTCGGAAGGCGCGCGAGCAGCGTGCTCTTGCGCGCCCAAAGAAGATGGGCAAGGATCAGGGGCAGGGGTGATGTCACCCTCGCCAGCCCTGCCCCCGGCTGGTGTGCATGCTCGCGCTGGAACTAGTTGCGCCGAGGCAGGTTTGCAGTGCCCGGGGCGGCACAGAGATATTTTTCTTCTGCCTCTTCCGAGCTGCCAGAGCTTTCCTCGCTTTGTGACGTCGCTCTCACTTGGCGCAATCCGCAGTCTGGCTAGGAGCTCGCATGCGATAGACTTGGCCTCGGACGGCGCGATATGTCTCAACAAACTTCTTGGCTCCAGCACCCCGTCGTCTTCGGTGCGGAATGCCGGTCAGGCGGCGGTTCTTAGCAACGTTGAGTCGGCTTATCTTGGTGTGCCTCCGTCGCTCGGCGACCCCGAGGTTCGCGAGGGAGCCCTCGACGCGCTCTTTGCTGAGTCAGGCCTTTACTCGGAAGAGGTCTCCACCCAATGGCCGTATGTCAAGAGCAAGGTCTCTTGGCCCTCGCGAGGCAACGCTCCTGCCTGTCTCTCAGACTGTCGCGCTCAGGCCGACTCGAAGAGGCTCGGCCTTTGGCGCGATCATATGCTAAGATCGCCTGCTGCCGTGGATTTGCCGCGCGCGGAGCTGTGCCCGAACGGCCCCTACGCCGATCCGAATTTGAGGAACAGCCCTCTTGCCGACGGTGATTTTGTTTCTGAGTTGAGGCAACGACGGATGATGAGGCATCGCGGGGTTGCCGGTCGGGGTGCTACTGTCGGAATATTCTTCGTCGCCAAAAACTCAGGTGACATCGGATTCATTTTTCATGCCCGGGCCGCGAATG